ACTGGCGGCAGCCCGTAAATAATATACCCCAAAACCCTCTTCTAATTATTAAGTACCGCAAGCTCCCAGATCGCAGCCCGGACACGAAAACGTTCGATCTTCGGTTGCAAACACCACCTCCCCAGACCCCCGGGGGGATCTGAAAAGTAGATCCCCTAATTTGGGACCCTAACTGCTAAAGGGTACTCTATAGGAACCCCCTTAAGGGATCTACTTTTGGGATCCTCCCCGAATTCTGGGTCCGTCGAGGGTGAAAGGCTTGCGAAACCGGACTGGAGGCCGAGAAGTACGGCTACTCTAGGCGCCTTCATACGTAGAATATGGTTTTGGCGTATATTATACTCTGATTATAATCAGGAGCCCCCAAAACACGGTTGATGATATAAATCCTGCATTACCCAAAATAAGGAATATACCATCATTTCCATAGTTTAGGGTCCTTAAGGTAATGCAGGATTTATATCATCAACAGTTGTACAGGTAATTACTCAGGCCCCTACATTACTTTGGCCACTCAAACTCTCCAATCTCGAAGGCAAGGAACCGCTGCTTTCAGCTTCTTGGTTCAGGGTTTGGGGTTTACTTGGAGGTTCATGGGTATTTTTAGGCTCCTTTTTGATTTAAGGGATCTAAAGGGGCTCCTTTTAAGGGCTCTATAAGGGGTCCTATAAGGGGATATAAGGGGTACTACTTGGAGGTTCATGGGTGGTTATACGTAGGGTTATAAGTAGGGTAGCTATAGTTATAAACTATATGAGGGGACTTATAACTCCACTTACAACTACCCATGAACCTCCAAGTAAGGTTTAGGGATAAGACATTCGTCCGTCACGGGACCACCCCCAAAGCGAGCGATGCCAGTGTAAACACCATTCTCACGCCCGAGGTGCATAATCGGGTTTAGGGTTTAGGGCCCACACTTCTCAAAAGTCAAATCCCTGATGCCGTTCATACAGACCTGAAGCCACAAACTTAACCCAATAAAAACCTCCAAAGACACTAAGAAGCATCCCATACCTTTTAACTCACCAACACCGTATTTAAACAAAAAACCCGTCAATGTCTAGACTCTGATCATGGGTTTAGGGTTTAGGGTCTAGGGTTTAGGGTTTCATGGTCGAGCTCCGACTTCTTCCCAGAGACTCCAAAACCCCTTAATTAAGGAATATACCTTAAATTATTAACACCTAAACCCTAAACCCCGAAACCCTATAAACCCTAAATCCTAAACCCCAAACAGGGGCCCTGTCTCTGGGTTCCCACCTTAGGACCATGGCCGCCGAGAGCCCCGCGCCCAAAGCCGCGGCGTGGCGGGGCTCGCGCAGCCACTCTAAAAACCTCGGGGGTCATCATTGAATCATGCAGGGTCCTTTACCTTAAACCCTAAACCCTAAATCCGGTAGGGTTTAGGGTTTAAGACTTAGGAACCCGAAACCCTAAACCCTAAATCCTGTAGGTTAGGTTTAGGCTTAAGGTTTTGGGTTCTACAGGTGTTCCATGAAGATGTCATGGTTTCAGTATGGGACGGCCATGGTTTTTCAAGGTGTTGGTTCTGTCGTTGTCGGCGGGGCGATCGGAGTGATTCCAAAACAAGTAAAGGGTTTAAGCTTGGGGATCCAGTTAAAGGAAACTACACGTGGGGAGTTTAGGGTATATAGGGCTTCTATAAGGCTTCTATAAGGTATATAGACACTCTATAAGGCTCCTATAACGGTAACTACCCACCTGAAAATGTCCTTTGGGATTGCGGGTTCCGGGGGCTAACTATCGATTCAGATGCTTCGGTGGCGCTGTTGGGCTTCCCGGTGAAGCCAGATTTGGGCTGCTGACAGATTTGAAGGCACCAGAAACCCAAACCCAAATAATTTTGGGCCGATACCCATCACCATCGCCGTTCTGAACTACGTCGGCACCGTCATCATCACCTATGTCATCAACACCCCAACCGTCGTCATGAGCAGAATCAGCATAAAAGCGGCATCCATGAAAGCAATATCAAATTTTACATGTCAGTTAAACATGTTCGTGCGTATTGTCAATAGACGTGGTACACAAAGAGCTCTGCTTGCTGTCGAGATGCTGCATCAATTGCATCATCCTGTTTTAGCTGCGTGCAGCCTCAGGAACCTGTTCTGCGAAAGCTTGAGCCAAATGCCACGCTTGTTTCACATCGCACGCGCCAACAACCCACGCATTCAAAGATAAATTCTGTCCCATCGACGTGCATGCTACCATCAAGAATGGTCTTTTTCGATAACCCCATTCCTTTCTGCTTGTCTTCCATCGGGTGCTGTTGTCAGTTCGCTTGCACCAGAGTTGTTTGAGGGCGCGGCCTCTTGCCCTAAGTCTCTAAATCCTAAACCCTAAACCCTAAACCCTATAACCCCAAACCCTAAACCCTAAACCCTAAGCCCTAAATCCTAAACCCTAACTGCCGAGAGCGCCGCTGACCATTTGCATGGGCGCTCGAGGCTCCGACCGAGGCCCCCGACCGAGCGTCTCGTCAGAACGGTGAGGGAGGGTAAAGCCTCCCGGTATACGAGGACTGTAGTGACCCAGCCCCGCTATTGACCTCTTGCCGTCAGGCAATAAAGAATGACCCCAAACCCACGACCATTCTCATCGTCCTTTTTCTGGGTCTGTCCTGGGGGTCTGGGCCCCCAGGGGGGTCTGGGGCCCCAGGCTGGCAGATTCCAGGGACGCGGAGCGTTTTGGGCGGGTCCGAAAAGGCGACCCCGCCAATTTCCTGGGTTTGTGGCAGGATTTCGGCCTCCAAGCAGGTCTGGGGTACCCCAGACAGGGGGGGTCTGGGGCCCCAGGCTGGCGGAACCCGACACCTTCTGGGCCGTCGACCCCTCCAAAGAAGGGTTGGCCCACGCTCGCAGATTTCAGCAACTCGGCCAGAGGGGCATTTTCAGTCCGCTTGTATCGAAAAGCGCGAGCCTTTTCCTCTAGAAACCAAACAAAGGCATTGTAAGCTAGACTGGTTTTTGCAGAAGCACGAGCCGCTTAGAGCCATTTTGTGGCTTGTGGGGCTGGGATATTGAAATTTCTAAAGTAATTTCCGTGGGCCGTTTAGGGAAACGGTGCGAAATTTCCGTGGGCCGTTTAGAGAATTTAGCTAATTCCTGCTTCCCGGGCTGCTGGATTCCAGCGAAAGCATGGGCCGAATAGAGAATTGCAAAATTTCTTTATTATGTTGGGTTACACGCCCGACCCGGAGGGGACCTCAGTTTGCGCTCTGCTGCCGCTGCCGCTGCCCCTTGCGCTCGCCTGCCTGTGCGCCTGCTGCCTGCCTACGCCCAAGCCTCCCGAGCTTGCTTCCAGCCTCTGTCTGCCTGTCCAAAGCACGAGCCGTTTAGCAGTTAAGCAGAAAGGAAAGGGAAATTACCTGGGTTGCGTTTGCGAGCCGTTTAGCAGTCATTCGCTGGGCTTTTGACCGAACAGCGCGAGCCGGCTAGCAGTGCAAACACGGTTTCTGCAGCTAGGGGCCCCGCGGGGGTAGGGGACGGGACGAGCCATTGAGCAGTTTCCTGTTGTTGCCTTATTAAGGTGGGTGCATGAAGTGCCTGCAGGGAGCCTCAGTTTCACGACAGCATGACACGTTTCACGTGCCACGGCCTTAGCTGCACGGCAGGCTTCAGCGCAGACCAAGGTCGTCGCTGATTCTGCGACTGCTCTCCGAAGCTTTGTTGGCTCGACAACCCGCACAATCCCATTCCTTCGATTCGGTGTCTATCATGGCCTCGTCTCGTTGGTCCTCGCCTGCGGCTGCCTCCGCTGTCGCTGACGAATTGCTCGACTTGGGGATCCTGGAGGATGATGCAGTCGCCGTGGACTCCTTGGATCGAGCCGAATTGGCGCTGTGGCCGGAACCTGATATGAGCCATGCTTCGGAGGAGGCGCTCCCCGACGACTTGGAGATTGAACTCGGGCGGCTGGTCGAGGAGGCTATGGAGGCCATGTCCGATGCCAGTGTCTCAGACGAAGAAGTTGAAGCCCCTCCTGCTGAGAATCCTACGCCACCGATGCCGGCCCCGTCTTCATCTCCAGTCAGCAGCGCCGTTACCCAGCTGCTTCGTAAGCAGCCTGCTGCGCGGAAGTCGCGGCCAAACGAGCTGGACTCAGAGGCTCACCTTGCCGCTTTCATAGCACGGGGACAGGCGAGCCGGCGCGCATCCATCCGGACCGTGGCGACATACGTTGTCTTTTTTGCGACTCCGTCAAATGCCGGGCCACTACAGAGCGAGTCTTGCTGAACTTGTTGAAGACCTTCAAGGACAAGGGCGACGGCCTCTACGATGCGGCACTGGGCCGACTGCGGCAGCACCTCGGGGAGGCGAAGGTTGCCAGCCTTATCGACCCATGGCAGGTTCGTCTACAGCAGCGTCGATCTGACAGTGCCCCGCTGAAGCGGAAGCCGCGAGACGCTTATGAAGTTCAGGTCAAGCGGGATCGGCGGGTTGCCCGGCGCAAGGTCTTCTTCCCCGACAAGCTCCACTCTCGCGCAGCAGAGGCAGACGAGGCAGCCGAGATTGAGCACGTCCGGGCCACTGGCATGGTGCAGGATTTGGCGGCACATGACACGGGCCTGCCCAAGCCCAAGGAGTCGACCCCGCGCTTCGTGGAAGACTGGTGCAAGCAAGGGTCTTGGGGTATCTGCGAGAAGTGCCACAGCCTTTGCCCCAAATCTCTTCAGCCAGTGGATACTCGGAGAATCGCCAAGCCCGGTGTCCCCTTAGAATCTTCTTCAATTGCTGCATACTGGGGACGGCTGTTCGGAGGATGTCGAGCTTGCTCTGGAGAGCCGGACATTTGCACCGCACCTGCTCGTGGAAGGGGATCGTATTCACGTGGCCGGACCATGCAGCGGAATGCTCGCAGCGACAAGCTGTTTTGTCCACCACAGGAAGCTGCCAGAAGTCACCCAGCAGAACCAAGCACGGGAGCTGGTCGGCATACTTCCAGAGAGCTAGCACATGGGTCGCCGTCAGCATGGAGACTTCGTCGATGACCACGAGGTCGTATTGAGTGAGGATTGCCATCGCCTCCTGCAAGGGTCGGTGCAGCAGGAAGGCACCATGGCTCGTATCCACATCGATGTCCGGGTGCACGGCGCACATCTCCGAGGCCAGCTGGCCGGTCGGTAGGGCAAAGAGGATCCGAGCGCCTCGTTCGTTCCAGCGCTTGATTTGTTCGTGCACCACGTGGGTCTTGCCCGTCCCCGGCGGGCCATTCGCGAAGAGGATCTTATGCTCAGCTGCTGCCGCAACACACACCTCCTGGGTCTCATCGTCCCCGGCCTCCGCCGCTGGCCGATTGAGTGCCAGCCACTGGCCGTAGTAGCGGTCGTTCAGCATCGAGTGCGTGGAGACGGCAGCCAACTTCTCGCCGCGGCACACGTAATTATTGGCGAAGTCCTCCAGGGTAGTGAGACCCACATAGTCGCGGTCTGCCAGGAACTCTCTTAGAGGCTTGGGCTCGCGCCTTCGAGCTTTGCGCTCAGACCGGTGTCGATGGAAGGCGGCCAGCAGCTCCTTGCGCGAAATCCTTCTCGGATTCCTGTTGGAAGGCACGCACCTCCTCCAAGACCACCTCCTGATGCTTCTTGCGAATATGGTGGATGATCTCACCCGACCATCCCAGCAAACCAGTGCACCGCGTGTCAGAAGATGGAGTATGTGCCACAACCAGCATGCAGACATCCCTGAGCCTCTCCGTGACTTGAAGCCTCGGGTGATCGAGGCCCTTCGTCCCTTGGAAATAGACACAGGAGCAGCCGAGCGGGTCCGCGTGCACACTGCCATGATCAGCTTCGCCTGGGAGCCGGTGTCCGTCGAGTACAAGATCACTTCGCTAGAGAAGCGTAAGGACCGGCAGGCAGCTGAGGCGGCCTACCTGCATCTCATGAGCTCCTCGACTAGTGGCTAGTGACTAGTGACTAGTGCCTATAAGGACTTCGTTGTCAAACACAATGAGTTCTTAGAGAAGCACGGTGAGAATGCTGACAAGAAGGTCCGGAATGGAGTGCTCTCTCTGGCCCCACCTGTACTACCACAAGAACCTCTGCGAGACCGTGGCTCGAGCAACCCACGAGACGAGACAGAAGACAAAGCAGGGCCGAAAGCGACGAGCGGAGGACAGCAGCGACGAGGAGGCAGCAGAGGACGCGCCCGACGGTGAGGTCGGCCAGGGGGAGGATGCCATTATTGCCGCGAGCAAGATGGGGCATCAAGCGTGGGTTCATCCGGAAGGTGCTGTCGCCGGTGATCGGGTACGGCGCCGATTACCAGTTGCTCCACTTTGTGTACGACTTAAGCATGGTGGACAACCATTGGCACCAAGCGCAACATCGCCACACGGTGCGGTGTTCCCTTGCGGCTGCTCTTGAAAGGATCGCCGTGGACACCGCAGTACTGGCGAGTTAGCCCTCATCGACATGCAGCGGCAGTGTGGCAATGCCAGCCTCTTCAGGACCCGAGCCCCCTACGAGCGGACCTTCCCCTATCACCGCTGGATCCTGCACGAGCAAGAGGTTCTGGGGCGCCCCAGACAGCATTTGGCCGGCGCAGAGACCCTTCACACGGCCCACGTCCTCCTCCAACTGGACAAGGGCTACTTCTGCGGTGCGATGGCACGTGCTGGACGAGCGGACCGCAACTGGAAGGAGCATCTCCTGGGCCCGGCAGCTGGCGATGGCACCAGCACCGTCGTGGCACATGCCACACGCTTGGAATTCCAAGATGGCAAACGGAAGCGGGGCACTCAAAAGTACCATGGCCGCGGCACTACGCACAGCCATTCGCTTGACTTCCTCGAGAACATTGAATCCATCGGCCTGGACTCGAAGGTGCAGGCAACGATCCCGCCGAAGGACACGGAGCCGCTGTTACATGGCCTTGTCACGGATTCCCAGTGTGACTACAAAGACTCGGGATTGCCGGTTCGCGAAGAGCCTTCTGCTTGGGACCCGGACGGGCAGAAGGTGCTGCTGCATCATACGGAGGACGACAAAGATGCAAAGGTCCGGGCCTATTTCAAGGACACGATGGAAGTGACCAAGTGCCACGAAGACGTGCAGCAAGGTGACGGGAACGGGGCTGTGCTTCGCTACGTGTCTACCTACAACATGAAGTTCAGCAATTCCATGGATTCGGATTGGCTCAATGGGGCGGCCTCCGACTACAGCACGGCCGCAGGGGTGCTCCGTCGCTATCAGCCGCGGGAGCCGGAGATGTGGCTGACCCTGGCACAGGAGCGGTTCCCTCAAGCGTACTTGAGCGGCACCTTCGTGGACTACATGGCCCCGAGCTTCCTGGACGACTCGTAAACCGACTGGCTACGACCTCCTCGACTTGTTCCGCAAGCATGATGACACCACTGTGGTCACCTGCACTCGTCAAGGGGCCGCGACCATCAACGATCTGGCCGCCACGGTGTTCTTCGAGGACCGGCACAAGCAGCCGCTGGGGGTGCTTCCACCTGACTATGAAGCGAACCAGGATAACTATGGGCGTGGCGGGCGCCTCCGAAGCGGCACGCTGCAGCCGGCTCTCCGGAAAATTTACAAGGGCATGCGGATATTCCTCACGAAGAACATGTCGAAGGAGGATGACTTCGTGAACGGCATGGCCGCAAAGATCGAAGACTACGACGAGCGCAGCCGCTGCCTGCAAGTCCTCACCCGCACCCATCAGCGCCTCGCCGTCTACATGGTCACCCACGAGCTCGAGGATGGAAGAAAGGTAGCTGCCTTCCCTGTCCGTCTCGATTACGCCTCGACAGTGCCGAAGGTGCAAGGCATGACGCTTCCTCACGTGACCCTCTGGCTCGACCACGCGGCGTGCCGCGCAGCTGCTTACGTAGCGATGTCGAGGGTTCAGAAGGATGAGGACTACTTGATTGCCGGGCTGGTCATGCAGCACCAAGCATTTCGTCCCTGCCCATTGACCGGCCTCGACCCGAGGATCGTATGCCATGTCTGCCATCACAGCGGAAGAGCCAAAACTGGATGCCGAAGGTGTCGTGCTCCTTGAGTTGTGTCCTTGTAGCACCTCCCTTTCCGCCCGATGGTGGACAGAATCCACATCTGTAACACTATTGTTTCCGCTGCCAAAAAAGCGACACTCGTATCACTAAATAAACAACAAGGACTTGCAATCGCCAATGACAAGGGACATCATGGCATGTGTGCCTCAAGTGTCGGCTCATGTTTGCTCCGCAGGTGTGGGCTCTTTGTTTTTGCCACTTGTTGTGTTCTAGCACTGAGGGAAAGTAAAGATCGAGAAAGCCCCCTCGAGGGAGGTTTGGAGGGTGAACCCTAAACCCTAATTGAGAATAGTTGGAGTGGTTGGGGCGGGACTGCATGGTGACGCAAGCGTGCGATTAGTGGGTGCGCCCTGTTCCCAACGCCTGCAAAACCGCATTCTTTGAGTCTTCCACCTAAGTGGAATACGCAAAGAATAGCCCTTTTCGTGCCCAAAATGCCCGCAAAAGCCGCATTGTCTGAGCCCATACGCGCAGAACCCAGAAGTCCCAGAACTCCTTCTGAA